TTTCTGAAATACTTCTTTATGCCTTGTTTTACAAACAAATCTGAAATATTTGCAAAGGGCTAAAATACATTTTCTATGTCAGAATATTGGCCCAGATAGTACGTCTGTTAGCTTTCCTCCAATGACCATTTACTCTCCTTAAAACAATTTCAAAAAATATTTTTTCTCTTTTGTTGAATCTATAGCTGCCACAGGGAAAGAAAAATATTGATTCAGAATTTTTTCTGGGAAGTGAAGGCACAGGATGTTCAGAGTATCTGCTTGATTATCTGAGCTGACATGCTAAAACTGTGGCTAAGGAAATGCCAGTTATCTAGAAACAGACTTTGAGGCTTGATTTTGGAAGTTTTGTTTAAAAATCTGCTGAAAAGAAAAGCCAAAACCAGCATGGACAATACCTGTAATTCCTATTTAGAGATCATTTCTGTAGCTTAAAGCCTTGTCCCAGCTGAAATGTAAATGTCCCAGAAAGGGATTGAGGGGACCATGATATAGGTAGGATGCCCTGGGCAAAGATGAAGTTTTCCACATATTCTTCCCGGGGCTTAATATACACCCTGACACATAGTGAATACTCAATAAACATTACTTAGTGAATTAATGAATGTGAAAATGAATGAACAGTTAGCAGAAAATAAATCCACCGGATACCTCTATGAAAGCAAATTTTGACAGTAAGAGCGTGGAGCTATAGGTGCCCCAGAAAACACAAAAAAACCACCTCACTGCACACTTCTGCCCAGAGCAGGCTTAGAGTTCTCTTCACTTTAGTTTATCCTAGTTTTCCCCTAGGACATCTGAAGGCAGAAAATGTTTTCTGTAATTTAAAATGCCAGGGAACAAAGTCAGAAGACACAACATGCAGAGGAAAGTATATTCAATAAGTTTCTGAACTGATATTTTTTTCTTCAGAAAGAAAGAAAAGCTCTTATTTCCCTCCCTCTCTGGGTGTCTTTTTGAGTCAAAGAGGTTGTAGTGTGTGCATGTGGGTGTCTGATCCTCCCAAGGTAAGTGGACCAAGAGGAAATTTAGGGCCAACCCCCTGGACCTTTTCTGCACGGGCCTCCGCCAGGAGATTCAGAACACCTGTGCTTGCGGCGTGTCTGGCCACTAGGGGTCCCCAGCAGCAGGCGATGTGAACTGGGAGTTCCGGGGCTGAGGCGGCCCCCGTGTGTCTGCCCCCAGGTGTGAACTCCCTTTGTTTGGAGGCAGGCCTGCTGCTGCTGCGTCTGAGCGGCCGCCCAGTAGCCCCACCCTGGGCTGCCTGCACACCTCTCCTGAGGAAATGGAGTGTTTCTCAGCTTCTGCCTCTAGTTAAGCCTGTCATTACCCTTGAGGAGCCGATGTTTTCTCTTTAACAGGACTAGCAATCTTTGTATGAGAAACACAGCTTAAACTACAAAGGGAAATATTTCTCTCTACAACATAGTGTATATCGATGTTGAGAAATTGATGGCAAAAGGACCAATTTTCAGGGTACAGTAGAGTATTTGCCATAAAATATTTACAGCTACTTGACAAATAGCCCCACTATTCTCCAGTGAATGCTGGCCACTGGATTAATCTTGAAAGTAAGGAATATTTCATCCTGTTTAGCCGAGGAAAGGAATGACCTTCACAAAAGAGACACCCCAGAGTGCCTGAAACATCAAGCCTAGTTTCAAGCACAAGAGCCATGTTCACTCAGCGGTGTTTTCATGTCTGCTTTTAAACTTCAGAGGAACAGTAAGGCAAAAATAAACAAATTACAGTAACATAGGAGCTACTCTGTAAACAATAAATTACATGACTCGTAACAGCCCATGACGGGGTGGGGATTGCAAACATTTGCTCCATCAAAATTTTATTATGTTTTCACCATTTCAGTTTTTCTTGTTCACAGGAAAATAGTATTGAGACACACCCATTATGCTCCAGATGTGTTATCCATCATCTTATTGCTTAGTGGTCATGGCTAATGATTTGAAAAGTAATTGGTGTACATGAGAACTATTTATAGATTTATTAGTTCCTTAGTTTACTCACTTACTGAACAAACATCTACTGAGTACCTATTGTGTGCAAAGCATGGTAGAGAATACAAAGGCTGACCAGACAAGGATCCTGCCCCCAGGAAGCTTTTAATGGAGTATGGAGATAAAATGTGTTCCAAAATTACCATTAAAACAAGACAAAGCATCTGCCAATTGAGAGTCACAGGGGAAAGACTGGAGGAATTCCACAGGAGAGATGGTTTCTGGCTTGGGGATTAGGGAAGACTCGCCCAGAAGGTACATTCTACTTGAACTTTTACAATATGTACAATGCCCAAAAGGGAGGGCATGGGAAAAGACTGGTGCTGCCAGCCCCAGTTGGTACTGTGCAGGGCACGGTAAGAAAGGGTTGCATTTGTGAAGGGGAGAAATATGTTTGGAAAGGGAAGGTGGGAAGGCTAAATTAGCTGAAAACTATGATAAAACAAAAAGGTAACTTTTAATCCTAAATAGATCTATTATCAACAACTCCTTTCATCCCTTAGGTCTTTTACTACCTGAAGAAAGAAGGTAGAAATACCTTAAAAAATTCTAGTTTTCAAATAGACCTAAGATCTTTATGGCACCAATATTTCCATTTCTATTGGCAAACTGGCATACATGAATGAATAAAATATATGAACTAATTTTCTTATTGTTTCGTTTGGAGAAATGCTTTGGGAGGTCCACAAACAGGTTCCTGAGCATACCGAGGAGGAGGTCAGCCTCTTATTTCGGCCACTTCCTGCTATTTTACTGATATTAAACATTTTTTGCAAGGAGCAACAAGCCTTTAGCCCTCTGAATCACAAAAAAATGATAGTGAGAAATCATGCCCGCTCAGTTTTGTCCACTGGTTGTGGCTTTAACAATCTACATTATTGATCAACTTTCAGATTTTAGTTTCAAACGCAGAGCTTTCAATTTTTCCTTCAAAATATTAGGTCTCAGAGTTATCAACCATCCATCTCCTACCAACAACTAAGCCTCTCCAGTGATCATGTTGCTATTCAGCACACATGCTTGCTGGCCTTGCATCCTTCTCATGGCCTCTGAACCCAGAGGGGAAAAAAAAATCAGTCTCTGACTTATTCTACTTCTGTACAGCACAGAGTGGCTTTGGGGAGATGCCTCCCAGCAAGTGCCCTTCTGTCCCTTCACCTGCCTATTTGGGGATAATAAAAGTAATCTGCCACACTTTACTTTCTCTAATGACTGCAAAGCTCTATGAAGTTAAATATTCTCCAACTGCAGAAATAGAATTTACTATCCTTTTGTGAGACATCAGAGGTGAATAATGAATCCTGTTACATATTGCTTGATTTGGGACAAGAAAGACATAAACCTTGGGTGAAAGATAGACATTTCTCCTGGTAGAACAAGTCACCTGCTGATTAGTTATCTACAGAAGCAATGGGGAAAGCAAAAGCTGCTCAAATCATAGATTCTATCTTTCAAGTACACAATTAACAATCACTTACGGAGCATGAATTTGATGTCAGGTACACTGTACCTTACACATTTCATCTTATTTAATCTTCGCAACATCAAATGTTATCAGGATTTTGGTTGTAGTTGGAGAAACTGAGGCTCCACAAGTGTCAGTAATTTGCTTAAGGTCACATAGCTAATAAGTGGCAGAACTGGAGGAACCAGAGTTTGAATCCAGGTGTTGTCTTCAAAGCCCAGATGGTGACAACTTGGCTGCGTGACATAGCCAAGTCAGACAGTTCACCACCAAAAGATCTGGAGGAATACACAGATTACTGGTCAGTCAAGAAGATGTTACTGTTGATCAGAAGAACTCTGGGAAAACAGAAAGTTCAATTCTGATGGAGAGGTCGGGTTGTGATGGGCCATATGTTCCCGAAGGGCTCTCTCTAGATTAGGCTGCATCAAGGCTGCATTACACAAGAAGAAAAATGAAGCGTGTGGGGATACTTGGGTCTCCTTTCACCAGGCAAGGGTGTTTCAAATTCCATGTAGATGAGGGTCCAAAAGACTCAGTGTGACTGGAGAGAGCTCATGAACCCTCAATTATTCAGAAAGCTGCACTTTTTAAAACTGAGCCTTATTGGAAAGACACACTGAGATGGCATCCTGGAGGGAATTTTTAAAAAATAGTTTAAATCAACTAGAAAATGTGACATGGGTGCATACTGTGATTATTCAACATTTATTATTCACCACATGTTGGGCATTTGGTTGACATGGACCCCCTAGGACTGACCACTATTCCTGCATCATTTCTGATAATTTTTAAATTGAGTATGTCCTTTTAACCATGTTTTTGAAAACTGAACTACCCAATGTGAACACTTCCCTCTTTGCTACATAATGAGAGTACTTTCACTCCTTTAATGTTTGCTTTTTCCTTTGATCTAACAATTTCTGTTCAAATTTCACAGTTTTCTGTTGCTTCAGGATTAAAGAACCGATTACCCTGCTGGGAGTGTGAAACACACTTTAAAAAAATCTGCGTGGTATTTCCTCCAGTGAAATTAATTTGGGTTTAAATGCTGGGGACAGGTACACACACCTTGTGCTCCAGTCTCCTTTTGCACACCTAAGCAGTTCCTTATCCTGCAAGGGCACAGTCGGACCTGCTGCCAAGTCTTTTGTGAGGATCCTTTGCAAGACAAAGTCAGAGAACCTCTTTCTCTTTGACACCCGGCTTTGTGTGGGCCTGATAACATATTTGGAACGTCTCTATTTTTTTTAAGGCCACCTTCAAAAGCCCAATGGACCCCTCGGGCACTGTGTGTGGCTGGCGTACTTAAGTGCAGCTGAATTTGGCTTGCTGGGTGCTTTGGGGGTGTTTTAGGAAACGCACCTTCTTGCAGGGCAGGGACCATTAGCTCCAGAGCAACAAAGGACAATTTAGAGGGGAGGGGAAAAAGCTGTCCACAGCCGCTCTGGTATCCCAGGCCCCCTTCTACCTAACCGCGTGTCCTTGGTGACCCCGCCTTCTCCCTCTGGATCCCCCACCCCGGCTGTCTCGCTGCTCCTTATCCTGGCCGGGCGCAACGAGCCCCACCACCTTTCTCCCACTCCCCTCTCCCGCAGCCTTCAAACCCTCTGAGCAGCGCAGAGCACGGCAGCCGCTCCCGCCCCGCGCCCCGCGGCCGCCCCCCCTCCCCCGCACCTCTGGGTCCCGCTCTCCGGTACAACGCCCCCACCCCGCCCTGCAGTCCTCAGACTCCGGCTCCAGCCCCCGTCGCAGGAGCTGTCGAGCCCGCGGCAGCTGAACCAGCCCCTGAGCTCCCGCGTCTCTGCTCCTTCCTTTGTGTGCGCGCGAGCCGAGTTGGGGCGGAGGGAGAAGGGGGAGGTCGCTCTGTCTGTCTGTCTCCCGCCGCCCTTGCCCGGGCGGCTCGAAGTGCCGCCGGGGAGGCGGGAGCCCAGCGGAGGGTGCAGGGAGCTGGAGGGGCGGCTGCGGGCCGCCCGGGCGCCGAGGTCCCAGCCGCGCGCCGGGGAGCGCAGACCGCAGCTGGGGCTCCGCTGGCAGCAGATTAGCTCGCTCCGGCCGCCCCTCGGTCTCCCTCCGCTCCCACCTACCCCGACACCAGAGAAAAGCGTGCAAAGCGCCGAGAGGGACGGAAACCACAAATAAATAGCGGCGGCAGCAGCGCGTCATCTGGTGGAGCAGGAAGTGCAGGCAGAGTCCGGAGGCCGGTGCTTTCTGCGTGTCCCCAGGACTTTGCCATGGGCTGGGGGCCGCGGAGGCTGCGAGCGGCCGGGCGAGGGCAGCGGCGGCGGCCACCGCACCGGGGCTGAGCGAGCAACGACGCGCGGGACGCGCGGAGATGGCAGCGTCCAGCAACTCAAGCCTGTCCGGCTCCTCGGTGTCCTCCGGTGAGTTTAGTCCGTCGGGGGCTACTGCCACACCGGGTCCCTCGCCGCCTGCCCTCAGCCCGCAGCCTGGGAGGCGCACAGCCTACCTGTGGCCGCCCTGCCCGCTGTCCCGGACGGCGAGCAGGCGTCCGGTGGGACACTTGTTTGCTTTGCCACCACCCTGGGTGCCCAGGGCACCTCCGCGCCGGCCGTCCAGCAGAGCGGAAGAGCGGTGGCGCCTTGGTGTGCGAACCCGAGTATTATGGGGACTTGGGAGCAGCAGGCGAGAAGCAAAAGGAGCTGGGCAGGCTCGCACTTTCTGGCGCAGCTGGAACCGGGGCTGGCGGGGCGGGGAAGGTTAGGGCGATGCTGGGCGCCCCAACTCGCGGACGCGGCAGCGCTGGCCACGCTGGTTGCCCAAATCCACGGCGCGAGGAGAAAACACTCGCTCCCCTCACACTTGATTTTCTTTGTTTGTTTCAGAAATTAGCTCCATGGAGACACACGCTTGGAGCGTGGGTTTGAGACAGAAGTAGTGAAGGGACTCTGTCTTTCTGTCCTGACTGAAGCGAGTTAGGGGAAGGGAAGGGAGTCGCGCCCAGCCTCTGACAGTCTGCCCATTTCCGTGTGTGTGCGTGTGTGTGCGTGTGTGTGTGTGTGTATAGTTTACCTATGTGGCCGGCCTCTTGGACTTTTCTTATAATACTCCGTAATTTTACTTTCCAGGCATACATTTTGTTTTCAGGAATGTCTGAGCAAAGGGAGGGCTCCTTTCAGCTTTTCTGTTGTTGATGAGTAGGTCTAATTGAAGATAAAAAATTGCTAATGAATCTGAAGGAGTAGGAATCAATAGAAGCAGACTCACTGGTTTCTGAGTATGACAGGTTTCTAATCAGAATGATGCATTAGGTAGAATTCTTCTACCTCTCTGGTCGTTGAAAACTAATGACAAACCCTATGGGGATAGCTAATAAGACATTTAGTGTAGTATAGTAAATGTATACAGGGGTCAAGAAGGTCTTGAAGTCTTAATGAAACTATTCAATATATTAATAGTGTATTAATTCCTATTGTGTATTTTTTTAATTATTACCAAAAAATTAAACTCAAAGAAAGAAACACCTTGTTGGAGGCACTGGATCACATCTATGGATGCATAACTAATTTAATCATAAATGCAAGGTGAATTTGCCTAAAGTGCAACTGTGATGTGTCACAAGGTGATCTCTTGAAAGCCATCTGTTATCTTTTCTGTCACGTTTAGTTCCAGGGAAGTGCCACTTCCTTTCTTGATCACTGACAAATAATCAAAAGCACAGTGTTGTTAAGCATACGCTATAGTTTAAGTTTCTGGTCATAGCAGCCAATGGGGCAGAACAGTCATATCTTATTAAGAACAGCAACAAGTTGACCGCCTGTGGTTTTAATTCTGAGAACTCAGCAAATGCTACCTCTGGTTTTTAGTATCCCCAAGCCACTGCTGCTGCTTTTTTGATTCATTTTGGTCGGCTAACATTGAATTTAAAATACAGGGATGTTGGTTCACGATTAGCATATGGTTGTCCCTCTCAGAAAGCTGCCCACTAGAAAACGAATTGGTAGGGGAGAGGTGGCAAATGGAAAGGAGAATGGAGAAAGGCCAAGATGCAGTCTTATCACATGATATACCAATGGCCTAAATTACAGATGTTGTGGCAGCTGAATTTCAGATCTTGCTGTAGCCTATGAAACCTGATTGAAAAACCAAACTCAGCCTTAGGAAGAATCCATGGGTTTGAAGCATTGCAGTATCAGCTTTAAATGATGGTAATTGCTTTTCAGATAGGATAGAGGTGCTTATGATGGTTCCCTTTTCTGCTTTAGTTACCATTATTTTAAATCCTAACAGAAACTGAGAAATTATGTGAAAGCTGAAATTTTTTAAAAAATGGCATGGATATATTATTTGATGTGAATCAATCTGGGCCATGGGCTTATATTGCCTAATTCACCAATTAATCAGGCACTTTGTCTTGAAAAATACAAGAACCCATAGTTCTCTTTTTAAGGACACTTACCATTGTGAGGATCATGAATAATTCAGATGACACAAGCAATTCACACCTGCTAGAGGTGTTGGGCAGGAAAGAATAGAGGCTGTTTGTGCTGGCAGCTGGGTTCTCCAAGGCAAAGGGAAGAGTCTGAGAAAATAGAATACTCCCTCAATCTCTTACTCACCATTTTTACATTGGACCTACTGTGTGTCAGGCAGTAAATTATAAGCCTCAGCTTCAAGGAAGTTAATGTAAGGAAGATAATTTTAAGATACCTTTGAGCTCTGGCTCCACCACTGACCAGCTGGGTAACTTGGGGCGAGTTTCTTAACTTCTGCAAGCCTCAATTTCCTCATCTATAAATGAGGCTAATGCTAATATGTTGTACTGATTAAATGAGATAATGCATGTAGAGCATTTAACAATGGTGTGGCACATGTAATCACAGTGAATAAATTTTGCTCCTTTGAGCGATGAAAAGGAAGGCACTTAATGGCTCAGACTTCAGTGCAGAAGTAAGTCCAACACACATAAAAGCTGCCTCTTACACTGCATGTTAAATTTGATCTTGATGTTTGAGCTCCAGTAAACAAGCACTTATAAGTGTTTACCAGGTTTCAGGCATTGTCCTAGCATTTAGAATAGAAAGATGAATCAAGAGCTTTTCTTTCACCCTCCAGCAGCAGAGGTGGACAAGCGAATAGTACTATAATCCAGTTGGGTGAAAGGAATCATGTGGAGGAGAATCGCAGGGAAGGGAGTGATTACTTTGGTGTAGATGGGTCAGTAGAGGTGACCTAAGAGTTGGGCCTTGAAAGATGAGTAGGATTTTTCCAGAAAGCAGAAAGAGAGAAAGGCATTTCAAAAAGAAGGAAGAGCTTGGCAAAAAGGCCTGGAGATAGAGAAGTTCTTCACATGATGTTTAAGGTCCTTTCTTAGGGCTGTTAATCCGTTTTCTAGGTGGTTCTTCATCTCTGGACAGTTATGCTTCTAGGCCCCTAAGCAACATCGTGCCCAGAGCTGCCAGATCATATTGCTGCTGCTGATGTAGGAGGGTTTCTTTCTGTTTAGGTAGCAGTGGGTTTGATGAAACAGCTCTGGAAGCCTTAGGACATAGTTGGGCAACTGAGCACTAAAAAAAGGACTGTCAACTCCACAGGGTACAGTATATGGAGAGGTGAACTTGAATAACATGGGTTACACCTCTCTTAGTGGATGTGGGAGATTTAGGTTTGGTTGTGTTTGCACAGAGAGTAAAGATCTACTTACTTACCCAGTATTAAACTCAAAGTCGTCTGATTTTCCTGAGAGTATGTTCTCACTTGCTGGTGTTAAACCACATCACCCAAGTGTGTCATTTATTCTACATTGCCAACTGAGATATAACAAATGAAATAATCAGGTTAAAACTAATTTTTAAATACATTTTCTGAGAACTCTTCAGAAATTTTTTTCTGGAATATTCAATTATGTGTAAAAGAAATTGCTTTGCCTTTGTTTTAATGATAACTGCTAGTAATTAAATTTCACAATCACCTAGATTAGCAGGAAGGTTTGATTACCTTTATTATTTTAAATGAAAAAAAATCACTATCTGTAAGCTTTTAATCTAGCCTTTGGTTCTTGATTATGCTGGTATAAACAATGGTTGATTTGCAAAATAGTTTTCTTAATAATCATGGGTTATATTTGCTTTTATAATTGAAATAAGAACTTTATGCGTTTTAGTTATATGATTGCCAAATGGATAATTTCACTGAGAAAGAAAAAAATCTACACAAGTAAAGTAATAAATAAAGAAGTATGAGATGTTTTCCAGTACCTAAACAAGGTACGAAATTAAATATTAAAGGGACCTCCAGGATAAGAAGTTGTTAATATTTTGAGAACATAAACACACTGTTACAGAAATGAAATCTACATAGACTTTTTAAATTAAAATGCAAATGGAAAAGGTAAAAATCAGCATTATGTACGGAGTCATTAAAACTTTAATTGGGAAAAGAACATTCTTGAATGGAGGGAGGGATTTATTTCTCCAGATTCCATGCAATAGTAATGTGGGCCAGGTAAATACTGTTATTTTCTGTTGTTGCACTGGTGTTGATCTTAGGAATGATAACTAGGCATTGTCATCTGTCATTGTTGGACTGTCACAACCAGTGACATATACAAATCTTTCATATTCCTAGATGCAGAAGGCAAAATGGAACTATAATAATGCTGCCAAGACTTATATATGTGTAATTAGAAATCGCATGAGTCTAGTACTACAAAACAGTGTATCTTTGTTGGAAGACATTTGACACTGAGAAGTCTTCTTTTGGGCCTTCAGATTCTTCAGAAATATTCATATATGTGTAAAAAAAATTTATTTACTTTTGTTTTAGTGACAACTGCTGCTAATTTAATTTGATAATCACCAAGAGTAGTAGAAAGATTTGATTACCTTTGGTATGTAAAGCCACAAAAAATTTTGCGATGTCAAAAAAATTGCAAAAAAAAATTGCAGAGCTAAAATAACCCCCCTGAGAGAAATCATTCACTCAAATGAGGAGTAGCGTTTCTTGCTGTTTTTCTGATGACCTTTCCACACCTCATTCTAACTTATTAGCTTGTCACTGTTCATTTGTGGTAACCCAGATGAACCCAGAGTATGAGAGGAAAGAGGCCCTTCTTAAACAGGACTTCATGTTTGCAGGGTTTGACAAAGGGCCCACTGACTTGTGTACTTTTGCTAACATGCCAGATCCCTTCACTCCCACAAACC